CGATTTAAATTTTTTTTCCAAGATATTTTAGGCTTTTTTTTTAGAGCAGTGTGTAACGTTAAAATTACATATTTTTTAAAAAATCGCTTTTTAACAAAAAAAAAATTCCTTGCGAAACTTTAATATAGGTTCTTTTTACAGCCTTACCCTTACCCTAACACTAACCCTAATACTAATTGACGGTATTTATATCAAAATTCAAGGATGATTATTTCTATTTTTTTTGGAGGGGTCACCAGCATCACGTGATATTAGACCAATCAAATTATAGAATTTTGATGATCGCCGGCGAAGCAAAACGAAAAACAAAAAACAGCACCTCAGGTAGGTTAATTAAAAATGTCAGGAAGGCAATTTTACTTATAAATAACTACCTAAAATCTAACCTAACCCTAATATAAGATAACCCTAACCCTAAAGTTAATTCAATAAAATAGATATTATAAGAATCTGCTCCGCTTTAGACGTCCTCCATGTTTGGCAGTGGCACATATATGTATCCGGTCGGTTCTACCACAAAGTCCCGACATCCCAAATCTCGAAACCATAATCCAGACATGACAATTAATATTTAAAGATTAGTAATCACATTAACAATCATTGTCAGACTTTAAATTTTAATTGTCACGTCACGCGATATCAGTATTATGACCTGTCAAGATTTTGGATATCGGGATTTTGTGGTAGAACCGTATCCGGTCACCCCGTACGTAGCTCACTAGGGTGTCTAATTACAGGTCATATCGATATATTTTATAATTAGTGGTGGCATAGTGGTAGCGTAAACTAAAATTAGTAGGTTAGTGATGTCCAAAACATTTTACCATTTCGTGTAACCCGACCTCCGGACCCAATTAATTATGCCCGAAAATTACCAAATTTTAGCGAATTTTACTAATAAACCCGCTAACCGATAAGCTAAGTAAAGTTGCTCAGATCGTAATTTTGCATAATATTAGCTAACTTGCATTATGCTTGTATTAGCACTTCGTAGGTCCAATCCGAAGTCCGAATCCGAACCAGCCGATCGAGGTCCGGTAGCTCGGGTTACACGAAATGGTAAAATTTTTTGGACATCACTAACCTACTAAGCGTAAATAGTAAAAACATAAAAAAAATTCCGAGTCGATTGAATCATTTGTGTAACGATATACAAACTCGCAAAAAGACGAAAACGACAGTCTAAACCCGTCTTGGGGCGCTAATTAAAAATGTTGGGCTGTACCCTTTTCTTATATTAACGCCAAACTATCCCTTAATTTTAACTAAAACGATTAAACCGTCAAAATCACGTGGGTACATGGCTTTAGCCATCCCCCTTATTTAGGACGTTCCTACCTGTTTGATTGGCCACGTATCACGGGATTGCACCCTGCTTTAAACGACCCCCAAATATGGAAAAATCCCTGACTGTAATAGCGATAGGTGCAAAACCACCATAAATGCGTTTTACGTATAATAAACGTAAGAATTATAAATCTGAAAGAAAAAAAGATTACAAAAATAAATAGTATTTGAAATAGCATTTGAGATAGTGTTAAGATAATATTTAAGGTAACATTTGAGATAATATTTGAGGTGGAATTGAAATGGTATTTAAGGTGGCATTTGGGATGGTATTTGAGATGGCATTTAAGTAGTATTTGAAGTTCTTGAGTTGTGTTATAGAAAGAGAAGGCATTTAAGTAGCATCCAATAGGTTGAAAACTATAATTCTGTAGCCAAGATAAATTTGTAAAAAAAAGATTTGAATTATCGTCATTTATTTTCGAGTTACTTAACCAGAAATTTACATCCGAATAATGTGCAACCCGGAAAATCTGTCCGGCTGTGTGACTGAAGATTTTTTTTTTAATCTTTAGATCGTAACCGTTACACTGTATAAATACCTATCGATATTTTTTTTCTGCCGTTAATACAAAAAATGATCATTTATCAAGACATTATTAGTGGTAATTAACGTGCCTATTACTGTGAATGTTTTCATTTACTTTGATCCATTTTTGTATAAAGTCTGTTTACATGAAAAAAGAAAAAGCAGTAACTTTAGCAGTTTTGATTTGCAGGTGACGAGTTTGTCTCTGATGCTTATCCCCTCAAGGTTGTTGATGATGTTGTTCTTGAAGTTGATTGTCAGGTAGTCGCCAGTGCAACTTTTATGATCTTATCATATTCCCTTCCGTAAATATTTACCGAATTTTATTTTATTATACAGCTTGTTGTAGTCAAAGGGGGTGTTGATGTAGATATCGGTGCAAATCCTTCAGCCGAAGAGCAAGATGAGGCACTTGATGAATCTTCAACTCAAGTTAATAATGTTGTTAATGCCTTCCGTCTTCAAGAAACCTCGTTCGATAAGTCGTCCTATCAATCTTATCTTAAAGGATATGTGAAAAAACTTGCTGAACACGTTAAAAAAGAACAACCTGACAGAGACATAAATGAATGGAAATCGAAAATTCAGAGTTTTTCAAAAAAAGTCCTCAGTAACATTGGCGGTATGTTATTTCATTTATTGATCGACATGATTAATTGATTATATTAATTTATTTATCTTATTGTAGATTACCAATTTTTTACTGGTGAAAGTTTTAATTTGGATGGCATGATTGGATTACTGAATTATCGCGAAGATGGAGTTACACCTTACCTCTCATTCTTTAAAGATGGTCTGAAGGAAGTAAAAGTGGTAAATATACATTTTATTATGATCTTAATTTTCTCAAAATGTTTTTTTTTTTATTAAATGCTAATTTTTTCTCATTTATCAGTAATAAAACTTTCCTTCGTAATTAAGTACAAAAAAAAAATAAAGAATTTAATTAATGTGTTTAAGAATGCATACGTTAAGTAGTA